TGGGGGTTGCCCGCGTTGACTCAGCGTTGACCAAGGCGTTGACCGGAGCTGCTGACCAAGATTTTGACCAAGCTGGAGTTGGTGATATCTCGCTGAGCCGTTAGCCTATCCCCTTACCCTGTGGATGTGCACTTACCCCACGGTACTTGAACCAGTCCCCTACCGGACCTACTAAGGCTTATGATCTGTGTCTGACGACTCGACTGTCCCGAGGGATACGAACCCCTCCAAGGACCGGTACAAAACGGCGGGCTGCTCGGTGTGGCACAGTAGGCCGGAACGGCTGAGTTGTGGGCTGAAATCGCCAGGAAGAACTACGCTGGTCACGTCGTCCTGACTGCGACGTTAAAGAATTCTTGTGAAGTTTGGGGATCTCCTTAAATGCCTCCTGATCAACTGTAGTACAGTAGTGACAGCCTTAGAGTAGTTGTGAGTAGTGGATCTTAGAGAGTCAGACAGTAGGTTAGTGTGTCCAGGTAGGTCTAAGTGGTGAGGAGTGGGACATTGTCGTGCACCTAGCACCACGATGGACGACTATCCGATGTATGGGTTGCTCGTTGGGTTCTCCCTCTGGGGGACCCTCTGGCGTCTCCTCTTTCCTCTGGGGTTCTGGCACACCTTCACGTGTAGACTAGATACCCGGGGTGGTGCCTCCACCAAGCCATACACGAAGGAGGAGGAGGAGAAGATGGCCGCCATCTTGCACGAGAGGAAGGAGAAGAAGGAGGCCAAGAAGAAGACCTTGAAGGAGAAGCAGGCGGCCAAATTGAAGAAGATAGAAGAAAAAATGGCCAAAGAGAAGGAGAGGATAGAGAAAGAAGAGGAAGCGAAATTGAAAGAGGTGGAAGAGGAGGAAGAAGATGAAACGCCGCTGCAGAGGAAGAAGGGGCAGTACAATGGCAGTAGGGATGAGGAGATGGAGAAGCGGATCTCAGAGTGGGTCGCCAACTTATCCCTGGGCGAAGAAGAAGTGGTGATGTATATCTCTAAGGAGGATCAGGAAGCCGCTATGAGAGCTTGGGAAGCAGAAAAAGATGTTGTGAAGCGGCAGGCAATGAAAGATGATAAGAGAATGGAATGGAGGTTGGCAGTGATGAGGGAGAAGAAGAGGAGAGTGGACGTGGCAGCGGAGGCGGCAGAAGAATTAGAGGAGGTGAAAAAGATAGAAGAGCAACTAGCCGCCCAGACTGAACTCCCAGCCCAAATGCGAGTCATAGCTCGAAATGTTGCACGCCTGGCACGAATTCAGGCGGAGCAATATGACTTTAGTAGGAGTCGGCATATAGCTGTGTGTTCAATAAAGTTGGGGTTCAGGGACTTTGCGCGTGAGCTGGTAGGCGCTATAGGAACCGAGGTGGGCCACCGCCTCGACAAGACTGAGCGGTTTTGCGCTGGCGCCATTGAGGGCGTCAAGGCGGCAGCCCCCAAGGAGGAGGAAGCACGCCCTCCTCGCCGGGAACCGGTCAAGGTCAAATTCGTTGATTCCTACAGTGGGAAAAGGGAAGAGAACTTTGACAACTGGGAAGCCAACGTTAAGACCTATGTGCACTTGCAACAGATCTCCCCGGATTAGCAGGTTCTAATTGCGATCCACGCGCTGAGAGATGAGGCCGCTAGTTTTGCAAGGTCCCTAGTTCGCGCTGCCAACTATAGTGACGATCCCGTTGCGTACTCCTCGTTCACGTCCCTCACCGAATTCCTGAAGTTGTTGCGTGAGAGATTCGCTGATGTCGCCCGCAACGGTAAAGCCTCAGATAGGTTGCAGGTGATCCACTCTCGTAAGTGGAAAAGTGTCAGGGCCCTTAAGAGTACAATGGATGAGTTAGTGGTTGTCCCTAACCACGGGTTACGGACACCCAGTTGGTCGGCCTCTTCTATCGGGCTATACCCTGCCACTACGTACGATTCTCTTAGTCGTGAGGTGGTGGCCTTTGAGGCCAAATCTATGTCAGTTTCCACCTTCTGGCACAAAGATTTGGATAAGGGAAAGCAATGGAAAGGCCGCACTATCTCAAGGCAGGTAAAGACCAAGGACAGCCTTGTCCTGACCTTAGATGAGGGTAGTGCGGATGAGATCCCCTACGAACAGATCGAGTGGGGGTTAGAGGAAGAGGACAGCGGTGTGGGCCAGGGGAGGACTTACGCTGCTGTCGCGGTTGGAGGGAGGCCGCAAGGAGGACGAGGCCAGGGCCAAGGAGGCCGGGCCTTAGGGAGCTGGTTTCAGGGCGAGCAGGGGGTTGGCGGTAGAGGAGGAAACCGCCAAGCGGGAGGCAGGGGTCAAGGTCCCCCGCAAAACCGTCCTAGGAATAGGTATCCCTATAGGGTAGGAGGATGGCACCCGGGGCTACCACAGGGTAGGCCTTGGGAAACTTTGGGTCTGGACCAGACTTTATGGCAACAACGATTGAACCCGGACCAGTGCATTTTTTGCGGTGACCCAGGCCATATCATTAAATACTGTCCTAAGTATCGCGAGACCCGAACGACTGCCCAAGGGCCAAAAGGCAGCCGCCGGTAGGGGTAGCAACTGCCCCTACCATTAGGCCATGTGGGGAACATAGCGCTAGCCGGCAGGAGACTCCCACACCACATGTGCCTATGGCAGAGGTTGCAGGCCGGTGTCTAGATAGCTGCCCAGAGACCGCTTGTATTAGGGTCTCTCTAGACACCTCCCTCACAGGCGTAGCCGAAGAGGTGAAGGAGAGGAGGCCCGCCTGGGCCAAGATGAAGAAGGAGAATAAAGGGCAGTTGATCTTACTGGATACAGAGATTTTTAGAGGTAGAGTAGGGGCCCTAGTAGACTCAAGGGCCACCCGCAGCTATATTAGTAAGAAGGCGCTGCAGAAGTTGAAGCTGGGACTCAAAAGTCCAAAAGCTAGCGGACCCCATAGTTAGTATCCTCGCGGACAATCGTACTATGAATGTAGAGGATTATGTAGAGGGAGTCCAGGCGTATTTCCGCCTAGAGAAAGATGGGAAAGTGGAGAAGGTCCTCCACTCCCTGACTCTCCTCGTAGAAGACAGCCTCCCATTTGATATTGTTTTGGGGATGGATTGGGGAGAGGCAGCCGGGACCACGCTCCATTTGAAGGAGCACGAGTGTAGGCTCCCTAGTTGTTCAGGCGAGGCCAAGACTGCCCGCCTGTTCCATGTGTCAGGAATAGAGAATCCCTTGGCACATTGCTGCCTTAGTGCTCCTGCGTTCGCCAGATTATTGAAAAAGGAGAAATTGGAGGAACAGGTTTTTGTTGCCTATGTTAGGCCAGCGACTGAGCCTACGGAAGAAAAGCCGATGGACCCTGCGATTGCCAAGCTGCTGGAAGAGTTCAAAGACCTAACCGAGCCGCCGATAGGAGTGGTACCGCGGCCCATCCAGCACCGCATTGAGATAGAGCGTGGCAGTAGAACTCCTAAGGGCGCCGTGTATAGGATGTCCCCACGGGAGTTAGAGGAGCTTCGCAAGCAATTAGACGAGCTCCTCGAAAAGGGTTGGATTAGGCCCAGTTCGTCTCCTTTTGGAGCGCCTGTTCTCTTTGTTCCCAAGAAAGAGGGAGAGCTGAGGATGTGCATAGACTATAGGGGTCTGAATGCGATTATAGTGAAGAATGCTGAGCCACTGCCTAGGATAGACGATCTCTTAGACCGAGTGCAGGGGGCCAAGTATTTCTCTAAGATAGACTTAAAGTCCGGATATCATCAGATAGAGGTACATCCTGATGATCAGTATAAGACAGCCTTCCGGACTAGGTACGGGCATTATGAGTTTATAGTGATGCCCTTTGGACTAACCAATGCGCTAACAACGTTTCAGCGGTGTATGAATGATTTGTTTAGGCCATGGTTAGACAGGTTCGTCGTAGTTTACTTAGACGACATCCTAGTGTTTAGCAAGACCCTCGAGGAGCATCAGGGTCATCTTAGGCAGGTCTTGGAGAAGCTGAGGGAAGCTAACTTCAAGGTCAATGCAAAGAAGTGCGATTGGGCAAAGACCCAAGTTTTATACTTAGGCCACGTCTTAGACGGAGACGGCGTTAAGCCAGAGGATAGCAAGATCGCAGCGATTAGAGATTGGCCCACACCACGTACGCTGACAGAGTTGTGCTCGTTCCTGGGCTTAGCTAATTACTACCGGAAGTTCGTGAGGAACTTCTCTACCATCGCTGCGCCCCTTCGCAGATTGTTGAGAAAGGAGACCATCTGGAAGTGGGATAAGGACTGCACATCTGCCATGAAGAAGTTAAAGCGGGCATTGATAGAGTATCCAGTCCTTAAAGTCGCCGATCCGTCCTTGACCTGTAGAGTTCATGTCCGCTAGAATGCCTTCAGAGAAGGTCGCGACATCTACCTTTGAGAGGGAACTATACGCTCTCAGGCAAGCCTTAGACCACTGGAAGCACTACTTGCTTGGGAGGCACTTCAAAGTCTATTCCGACCATGAAACGTTACGATGGTTAAAGACGCAGGCCAAGATGACACCTAAGCTTACTAGGTGGACCGCAGAGATAGATCAGTACGACTTCGAGCTCAAGCCTGTCAAAGGGAAATACAACGTAGTCGCGGATGCTCTGAGTAGAAGAGCTGATTACTTTGGGGCAATAGTACATTACCTCGATATAGGGAAGGGTCTGCAGCAGAAGGTTAGAGAAGCCTACGCGCAGGACCCTATCTACAGTGACCTCCTCAAGAAGGTCAAGGAGGCCCCAGAGACTGAACCAAACTACCGCACTACTATCTACAGTGACCTCCTCAAGAAGGTCAAGGAGGCCCCAGAGACTGAACCGAACTACCGCACTACTGAGGGGTTGCTTTTTGAGAAGACTAATGTTTTTGACCGGCTGTGCATCCCTAATAGCGAAGAGATCCGTAGTTTGATTTTGGGGGAATGCCACGACACAGAGGGTCATTTCGGTTGGCAAAAGACTTTAGCCAATCTGATGCGCGCGTATACCTGGCCGGGGATGAAGAATGACGGCGTAGAGTATGTTCGCAGTTGTAAGGTTTGCCAGCGCAACAAGAGTTCTACGCGCGCCCCGCTAGGTCTTCTCAGACCCGTGCCCATTCCGGATCAGCCGGGAGACTCAGTGTCCATAGACTTCATGGACACTCAAGTCAAGAGTAGGCATGGCAAGAGCCAAGTCATGGTCATAGTTGACCGTTTTAGTAAGTACGCAGTTTTTGTTCCTTTGCCTTCAGAGGCACGTACTGATTTAGTCACACAGAGATTTTTTGACTGTTGGGTGAGTGAGAATGGAATCCCACTGTCTACAGTTAGCGATAGAGATAGTTGCTTTACTAGCCAGAACTGGCAAGAACTCATGGGAGTATATGGATCTAGATTGTTGATGTCGTCCGACTGTCATCCGGAGACTAACGGTCAGACCGAGCAGATGAACAAGATCCTACAGCAAGTTTTGCGCATGTACATTAGGCCAGATCAAATTAACTGGGATGAGATGTTGCCCAAAGTAGCTAGTGCGTACAAAAACAGCGTGCATCTGTCTACATGCCGCACTCCCAACGAACTGCACAAGTCCTTTAGACCGCGCAGACCGTTTGAGGGACTCAACCGGGATCAGATTCACAGATTGCCGCCCGGGACCMGGGAGTTTGCTGTACAGCAYGAGAAAGAACTRGCTAYTGTTGTAGAGAACCTCAGRAAAGCCCAGCATAGGATGATAGAGCAAGCGAACARACATCGTCGCCCTTCACAGTTTCAGGTAGGCGACTTAGTCTGGGTCAGTTCTAAGGAGTTTGCACCTGAGGAGAACATCTCGCAGAAGTTACTGCCCACATATAGAGGACCGTGGCCCGTTCTAGAAGTCAAGGGCGGCGAAGATGGACCGTCCTATACCATAGAACTTCCAGCACACCTCCACACTTACCCAGTTTTCCATGCATCGAAGTTGTTACCTTGTCAGACAAGTGATCAGTTTCCATTCCGTAGATCAATGATCCCACCGGATATGGATGGGAGATATGACATCGATGGTATAGTGGCTGAAGATGTCTTCAGAACTGGAGGTAGGGGTCGTCCGCAGAAACAGTACAAGGTTCATTTTAGTTACCAGGAACCGGAAGACGACCGCTGGTTTACAAGATCTGAACTTCTAGAGACAGCTCCCGATATAGTCCGGGCCTACGAGAGACAACAGCGAGGTAAAGGTCCTGCCTTGGACTGAAATTTTGTCGGAGGACCTCGAATTTAGGCCGGC